ACAGTGGACACTTGTGGTCCTATATTGCACATTAGGCAAATTATTAAATAAACTTACATTATTATTTCTCCCTCACACACACACAGCGACTTACGATGATCTCATTCTGCGAACAGCATGAGTGGTGCTTATTTCTGGCCAACAGGAAGCTCGGTCTGGTCTGGCCACTGCAGCGGACAATACAGGCCCGGTGTCTTTCTGAAGAGCCCACGTCTGCTCTGACATCATGGCTCTGTTCAGATGGAGCCGTGATTATGACTTCATTATGTCTCTGTTGTCCAGGATGTACAAAAACACATTGTTCTCTCCCAGACACGACCAGGACCACAGCACCAGGCCCAGAGCAGCGCACGGGTCTGGAGCTGAAGAGTCCTGGGTTTGAGGCAAATCAGGCAACAGCAGCGTTTCACAGACTATAATCACAAAGCGCCTCACAATTAAAACAAAGGATAAAAATAGTACACATAAGTCAAAAAAAATAATATGCAGAGTAATCATAAACACTATGTACGGTGAGGTGAGAGAGTCTGCCTAAACAAAGAGGTCTTAAGTTGCGACGTACAATTATCGACAGATCCTAACTAGATAGATAGATAGATAGATACTTTATTGATCCCAAAGGAAATTGTGCATTGGTCCCTTTCTCGCAATCATACAATCATACAAACATACATGTACCGTATGCTTGTATGATTGCGAGCATACAATATCCTTTGGGATCAATAAAGTATGTACTGTATCTATCTAGTTAATAGATACAAAAAAAGACGATAAAATACATTAAAATCAAGACAAGACAATTCTCAAAACCCATTTCATTTTGATCTATAAAAACCCTGCTTACTTAGCCTGGCTTATAGATTTAAAACATCTAAATAAGCCAGACTAAGAGAAAGAAATGTTATAATATCGATTATTATTGATTTATATTTCATGTTTTTCAACCCGGCTCATCACTAGTAAGAAACTCTGTATAACATTTCTTCCCCAAATGTAAGAATGAAAAAAAACGGCAAAAAAAATATTTTGTATGTTTTTTCACCAGCTTATGTGCACACGTTCAAGGTTTTGACCAAGATTTCAATTGAATTCTATTCCAAAATAATACATATTTTATCTCATAATAAATGTATCTTTAGCAGTCCCCCCCCCGAGCTGGATTTACTGGATTAAAAATGGGTTTTTGATCAGGCCACATGCATTTTAAATGAAATGTTGTAAAAAAAAAATATCATGAAACAAATGTCCGTATACAGCAAAAAGTCAAAAACTGGATTACAGAGGATTTGAGATTTACAACAAGTAAGTAGGTATGTAATCTTTATTTATATACCGCCTTTCACAGACCAGAGTCTCAAAGCGGTTTACAATTGTTATTTTTTGGGCATTCGTCCTCCCACTCCACACAGAGATGGGAGCGGGGTCACCAGTACAGGAGGCGCAAGCCAGAACTATTGTACATGTTTTAGTGGTAGAGGAAACCGGAGTACCTGGGGGAAACCTACGCAGACACGGGGAGAACATGCAAACTCCACCTAGAAAGGCCCTGTTCTGCCACCGTGCCACAAGGTATAGCATGACTGCATTGGTGGAGCTTAAGTTGGTTGGATGACACTGTCAAAGTGCCTCAATGGCGACTTTGTGTTAGCAGCAGAAGGGCCACATAAAATGGGACAGAGGGCCGCAGTTTGGACATGCCTAGCCTAGTGTGTGCTTGAATGAATGTTGGTGGTCTGAGGGGTCGATGGCTGACTGGTCGCCTTGCTTCTGTCAGTCTGTCTCAGGGCAGCTTGTATGGAGTGACTGAATAATGCCATATGAAGACCGTCCAAAAAGCACTGGACTAAACCATTATTATAACTATTACATCTCAGCCCGGAGTTTAGGCTGACGCGTGTACTCTCAGTCACATGGCATAAAACCTCAACCATCTCCTTATTTGAACTCCTCCTTCACTTTTCACTCAACATTTCAACTTTCTTTGAGTTTGTTGAGTTATATAATAATTTCCAGCACATTTTTTCATGCATGGGATACAGAGCTTGTTTACACTGCAGGAGAGATCTTCTATGAATCATCTGATCTGGCTCTAAATGAATAAAAACATGATGTGAAGAGAGTCTCCAAAACCACCAGCAGCGGGAGACAGGGACCGTTTGGCCCCAATAGGGACTTAGTCTTTACCCAAGTTTCCTCCAGTAAATGTATCAGCATCCAAACCCCGCGCAGACAGATGTGACGAGAGGAGATATATCGAGTGTGTTCTTAAAAGGATGAACTATATTTCTCGCTTTCTCACTAGAGGCGGGAGGAAAACTGGTGAGTAGAATGAGTCACAGTCCAAGAAACGTAAGAGTTTTAAGATTTTTTGATGTTTTATTAGCATTATTAGCATATTATCCAACTCAGACTCTGAGGAGCACAAGGACTGGCCCCGTACTGGTGCCCAGAGTCTAGACTAAACATGGGAAGGCAGCGTTTCAGATTTATGCAGCTGAAATCCAGAACGGTCTTCCTGAAAATGTGAGACAGACTTCTTTTCTGAAAATTGGGCAGCACGGCGGCGCAGTGGTTAGCGCTTGTGCTTCACAGTAAGAAGATCCTGGGTTCAAATTCACCTTCAGGACCTCTCTGTGTGGAGTGTGCATGTTCTCCCCATGTCTCTGTAGGTTTCCTCTGGGTGCTCCGGTTTCCCCTACCTCTAAAACATGTACAATAGGTCTGGCCTGCGCCTTCTGTATGGCCCACTTCCATCTCTGTGTGGAGTGAGAGACAAAAATACAACAAATTGTAAAGCGCTTTGTGACTCTAGACTTTGAAAAGTGCTTTATAATTAAATATTACAATGTTCAAATCCAAGTTAAAACTGTTTAGCCGAGCTGCTGTTATTATTTATGATTTTAATGCCTTGTGTGATTGTTTCTATCTTGTTTTGCTGAGCACCTGTGTTGCCTTGTGTATGAAATGTGCGATACAAATAAACTTCCCCAGCCTTTTTATACTGTATTTTATAAACGTTATTATTATTAGTATTAGCATTTTGGGCTTGGTCTTGTTTAGGAAATGTGTCATACTAATTAGATTCGGTTCGATTCAATTCAGCTCATTTTTGTAAAGCCCTCAATCACAACAGCAGTCGTCTCGGTGGACTTCACAAAGTTGTCGATTCACCAACAACAGATCAGAGAATCAAACCGTTCGAACACAGGTAATGATAATAATAATAAGAAATACAAAATATGTCCATAAATGTTTATACATTTCCTTTAATGTCCCGGATCATCACTGTCCTATGACTTTCATGAATTGGCAAAGGAACCACTCAAAAACAGAATAATTTAAAGTTATAATTATTTGTTTAAACACTACATTTTGATTATTGTAATGTTTTGATATGTTTTGATGCTTTCCTGATAGTGTTGTCAGCACTTCGGGTTGCCTTGTGTAGGAATTGCATAGGAATACCAGTGTCTCCCAAAGCGGGGTATTGCAGGGGGGCTGCGAAAGGTCATACAAAAAAAAAAATGTACGTTAAATTAATTATATTTTCTTTGTAAAATTAAAATAGTTGTGTTCATTATTTGACTTGAATAATACAATTGTAATCATTTTTGTAGTATAAAATGGGGTGCGTCATTTACATGATTGTAGCAGAGGCTATTTTCCCCAAATAAAATAACGAGAAGAGCCTATTTTTAACGTTGTCTTCTTGGTTATTATTTCGGGGGGCCGCGCAGACCCGTCAGATTTTTAAGGGGGGCCGCGGTGTTACTGACTTTGCGAATGGCTGCGCTATACAAATAAAAGATGATTGATTGATGCATGACTTTTTTTCAGTCGCTTTTTTCCTCTTCTTTCAACCCCAGCTTGTGTTGAGTTACCTTCTGTCCTCTTCTGCCCACATACTTTTACAGTTGTGGCAGTTTCCATCCAACCAAAACTTGTTCGTAGATTTGCATAGATTCCGAAAAAGAAAATCTGTCGAAATACAGTTATTTTGTGTTGAGTTGCTCCCGTCAAGCAGAACTTGGCTGGTCTCAAAAGTCAAATCAAATGCAAGTTTATAGCTAAAAATGACCATTACAAAAATAGAAGCAATTTGACTAAACTTTATACAGCTGTGGTTTTCCTTTCATGTGTCCGTCCAGCGCATTCTGTTTCTTTCAAATCACTTTATTTTGGCTCTGGCCTGGTCTTTTGATGGCAGGTGCATGCACTTTCTAGTTTATTTGACGGAACGGGATAGGGATGACGATAAGGACTAAAATTTGCTACTTGCGTAATCCCATGAAGCTTTGTGCCTTGGTTGGCGATCTGTACGTATGCATTAGATTAATCGCTGCTGTGAGTAAAGCTGCAGCCAAAAAACGGGGAAAAAGATGATTTCTGTTGTGCTCCTTGTTGCCTTGAAGAACAGCAGGTAATTCAAAACAATTTACAGAATGAACAGAAGTGACCAAACTGTTTTTTTTTATAATCACCCTCTTCCCTCCCCCAACCATCCCCCCCCCCCCCTCCCTCTCTTCCCTTCCCCCTACTATCCACCCCAGGCTGGATCAAGTTAATTGATTTATCGCAGCTAATTGCTTATTAAAATAGTTGTCAAGTTTAGGACTCCGATAACTCTCTGGATTGATAAAAAGTTGTGTCGATGAAGTCAACCCAATGTGTAAAACTCCTATGAAGAATTTCTCCCTCACTTGAGATTTGTTTGAGTCAAGATTCAATAATTTATTTGCCATTTGCAGTTAAACCACATTGGAAAAACTGTGCAAGACTATACCCAGTGTGCACCAGGTTAATTGCAGATAAAACCCTTATTTACTGAGCTTTCAGGATCCAAACAGCAGCTAATCAATTATCAAAATAATCGTCCGTCCCTTGTCAGTGTGTGGGAACGGATCTTTCTCTCAATATGGGCCTCCCCAAGGTTTCTCACTTTTTTCCCGTTGTTTTTTAACCATATTTAGACACATCTCCCTGATCTTCTGACTCCACAGATTCCATGAGTGGTCCGTTTCCCTCCACGACGCACAGATGTCATCATAAACCAAAGCGCTGGCCGGCCCTCCCCCAGTGCGGCCTGTCCTCGTTCCCCCTGCAGTTCCACCCCAGCACCAAAGGCTCCCAGATCCTCATGGACCTGTCCCATAGGACGGTAAAGAGACAGAGCAGCTTCTGCAACGCCATCACCTTCAGCAACCGGCCCATCGCGGTCTACGAGCAGGTCCGCCTCAAGGTAACACCCAGCCTGGGCGTCAGAGGAGGGGAGTCATGGCACATTTCAATTCCATGTTCCACAATTCCACAATTCCACAATTTCCAAAAGTGAAAACTCCATGGAGATAGTTATTGCTGTGATTTAGGGCTGTACAAGAATAAATACAGTTGAATTTAATTGAACTACAAAATTGTTGATTCACGTTTGAACCATAGACTGTAAGTATTAACGGCCATAGTCACGCCTATCTCCGCCGTTCTAACTAATGTGCCACAATCTATGGGCACTTTCAAAATGGCCGCGGGGGCTGGAAAAAATGTCTTAAAAAAATCACAGCGAGTAAACTAGACTGGTCCAAAAAAATTCACCCCCCTCAGCATTGACACACATGTGGAACGGAGCTTTGGACCAAGAGCCAACTTTTGGACCACCCTGTAAAGACGTTTTGGAGAGGTAAGAAGATGCTATATGTTAGCATTGGCTAGTTCTTATTCCGGGTCCACCCCCATCGGCCCGGGGTGGTATTGCAAGCATGTCAGCGCACGTCATTTTGGCCACTTTTGAGCCGGGACCCGCCCCCACTGGTTTGAACACAGGAAATACAACAATAACAGCCATTGGTCCAATTGGAGCGGGATGACCAATGTCCACAAATGTAAATAAATGTCCTTGAATTTTACTGTCATCACTGTCCTTTGACCCTACCACATCAACATGGATAAACAAAACAAAACAAAAACAGCAGAACCCAGAATATTTACCTTAAAGCAAATGGTTGGGAGGAAAACAAAAGTTCTATCATAATAACGCACCTTACTTATCCTACTTAGTATGTAGCACTTATCATGACACCCAAGGACTCCTCACACGGCAAGTCTTCATTCACTCCAAACGCTGTGAACTACCACGTAGCCACAACTGCCCTGGGACAAGCTTACGAAGGCGAGGTAATCTATGCATTAGCCCCCCTAACCACCACTAATCGTTCACGCACACACCATGCAGACTCATACTTTGTGGGCGAAGAATCCTGCCATCCCACTGTGGCACCTGCTGTTCCCAGAGTCTCCCACTCGCCTGTGAGATATGACAGGATCCAGCCACAATCGGTCATGTTGGTGATCGATCTTTAATAGTGCTGCATAAACAGGAAGTTGCATGCAATTTTACCTATACTAACATTAAGTATGTAAAATCCATAGTGATAAAAGTCTTACATCTTTGATTGTTAAAGTAATCAAATATAATATAAATACATTCAGTTTATTTTGCCTTTTTACTCCTTTATATTTTACTCACACATTTGTACTAGGTATAAGTGATGAAAAAGTCAAATATCACTTGGGAAAATGTATCTTAATTTTAGCTCGTTTCGACTGCCTTAAAACAAGATTTGCCAAAGGGACAAGCGAAAATATCTTATACTTAAAAGATAAAAGAAATGTCTCTCTTGGAATGAGAAAATTAAGCAACAGTTCTTGAAATAAAATGGCTTTGTCCCATTCGCAAATCTTGTTTTAAGTCAGTCAGAATGAACTCAGATTTTAAAAGAAACCCACTTGATTCCAGAAATTATCACCTTGTGTATTTTTTTTTACAGTGTGAAGACATAAAAGCCCTAAGTTTGTTATTAGAAAAGAAAAAAAATTGCAATCTACCGACACAAGAAAATACAATCATGTCTTTGCCCTTTCCCATATCCACCAGTGCTTCATTAGCCTCTCTCCTAAACTTCTAAAATCAACAAGGCCTCATGCATATTTCATCGTCGTTCCCCAGATCACCAAGAAGCAGTGCTGCTGGAGCGGTGCGCTGCGACTGGGCTTCACTTCAAAGGACCCGTCTCGGATCCGGCCGGACAGTCTGCCCAAGTACGCCTGTCCCGACCTGGTGTCTCAGAGCGGCTTCTGGGCCAAGGCTCTGCCCGAGGAGCTGTCCGACGAAGGCACCGTGCTGTCCTTCTGGGTGGACAAGAAGGGCCGGGTCTTCTACCGAGTCAACCAGTCGCCCGCCATGCTGTTCTTCAGCGGCGTGCACATGGCCGAGCCGCTGTGGGCGCTCATCGACGTCTACGGCCTCACCAGGGGGGTCCAGCTGCTCGGTGAGTCGGCTTCCAGTGAGAGTGAAAGGTTAGAATGCAAGATGGGAATGGATGCGATTTAGAAATGGCAAAGAGTGCAATTTTGAAGGGGTCTCTGTACTTTGTTGTACAGTAACTTGTTTCGCCGATCCAAGACTGGACTGGATCTGGACTCATTTGCCGTTTCATTCACATGTGACTTATCCTTGAAGTGCAAATATAGCTCCAGAGTTTTATTTGTATTATCTCATTTGTTCATGATCTTAGTATCTATCATAAATAATAGTTCGGGTTTGATGTGTGCATAACCTGAGGGCTCTTAGTTCTTCTTTGATTCTGTTTTAATGTGCACAACTATGACATTGGAATTTTTCATCTGAGGGACACATACTGTAAAGCAGCCATTCCCAAACTCAGTAACACCGAGGCCCCCTTAAAAATCTGACGGGTCTGCGTGGCCCCCCAAAATAATAACCAAGAAGATAACATTAAGAATAGGCTCTTCTGGTTATTTTATTTTGGGGAAATAGCCTCTGCTACAAACATTGTAATACAAACATGATTACAGTGGATTATTCAAGTCAAATAATGAACACATATTTTAATATTACAAACAAAACATTATAAATTTAACATAATTTTTTTTTTTTTTTTTTTTATGACCTCCCGCGGCCCCCCTGCAGTACCCTCGCGGCCCACCAGGGGGCCGCGGACCCCACTTTGGGAGACACTGCTGTAAAGGTTTATCTTAACTTGATTCTACTGGCCGACTGGATTTTGGGTGGATTATAGATCAAGAGGAAATTCTTAGTGTGAGTCTTGTAATAATACACTTTTTTTCCGTTGTCTAGAAATTCACACTTTTGTGCAACAATTTAGACTAGGTTCATGCTTGAACTCTCTCTAAGTCGCACGCGGTGATAGGTAAAAAAAAACAGCATGTGTTGGAAATAGCACTGTAGTCATGTTTAAACCAGAGAAAAGTCAAAAAGTGTAATTCGGCACCTTTTATGTACACACCCTCTCCTTCAGTTCAGCTCCTACTCTCCTTTCCTGAATGCGCCATTGTCATTTTGTGGGTTTACAACCTGCTTCCCGTGCCTATGCAGGTTTCCTCCGGGTGCTCCGGTTTGTACAATATTTATGAATGTTCTGAGGCTTTGATGCCAGAGTGTTCGGCGTCTCGCTTCCGTCATCACCTCGTGTGGAGTGAATGGAACAATATCCAAACTCTAAACATTGTAAAATGCTTTGGGTGACCTCGGTCTGTAAAAATGCGCTTTATGAATACAGTTTACTTACTTCTTTATCATGTTAACTTGCTAATCTCCCGTCAGACTAGTGCATGATTGCTCAGGGGTGGTTGATAATTTCACAAGTTGACTTTTGATTATGTGACAACCCCAACCCCAACCCTGACTATAAAGATAGCTTTGAATGCATACAATACTGTCCGTGAGTAAAATCTTTCCCATAGGCAAGAGTCTGCAGCCGCGCACCATCTGCCTCTGTTTAGCGGCGCACTGAGCGGTTCTGCAGCGGTGAATGTTAGCACAACGTAACAGCTGCTGCTCTCATTTTCCACAAATCGACAAAATAGAGCAGTGGAAAAAGATGGTGGGAGATACGGCAGATTGTGCAGTTGGTATCAGAGATCTCCCACTCCGGGGGATTTCAGGATGGAGAAAGGGGAGACCAACAAGTTCACCGGGCTGCTGAAAGTTCCCATACCCCAAGGAAGGTTTTCCAGTGAATAAAAGCAATATTGTGTGTTTAAAATTATTGTAGCTTTTATGTGCACAGACAGGTTCTTGGAAGTTTTCTATCCGGTTAAGAAAGCATGCATTCTCTTGCCAGCAGCACATCAAGATGGCGTCGTTCATCTAGCGCTTGACCGGCCGCCACAACATGCTGTCCAGTTTGGTTAAACTTTGGGGTAATTTTTCTACTTGCAGGTACAATGACTTGTCCTTCACCTGATGAATGTTCTCTATCTTCCACAGTAGTTCACAGGTTTCTGCTTTGATATATATATATATATATATATATATATATATATAAATATATATATATATATATATATATATATATATATATTATATTTATATTTTAACAAAATACAGACATAAGGAAATGCATATCTACAGTACACACCTACACACACACACACGCACACACACAAACACACATACACCCAGAAACTACACAATTGTTACACAACTATACATACAAACACAACTACATACTTTAAACATTCTAAAAAATACATGGTAAACTGCTCAAATAAACTGCTATTACTATTACTACTACAACTACTACTACTACTACTACCGCTACTCCTACTACTACTACTACACATACGTACATCAGAATAGTTCCATCTGTATTTTGGAGTTCTCTGTGTGAAATATTGAGGTATGAAAAGAGAGCTTTCTTTGCTCTCTTTGTGCTTTCTCGTTTATCCCATCTTGGTTCGACTCCAGATGGCCAATTCTCATAATCATATCATAAATATGTATTCTGTGTTTTTGCCTGCCATTTTTATTTCTTGGACTATATTCATGAATCACCACTAAATGACCTGTTTGTTCCTTTAAGAAATTATGCTCCAATTAAAACACACATCGCTCCAAATGCTAAGCTATCATGCAACATCCCGATACAACAGCTGCGTCTCATTCTCCCCAAACAAAAGACTACTGTAGAGTGGACAAATAGGCATCCTTGTGGATACCTCAGTGCTTATTTATAACCATTTCCAAGAACAGCCTTGGCTCGGTGCACAGAATAGTCTTGTCAGTAACGTTAATATAAATAGAAGAGTCTTCCATGGTGTGCAGATAGGCCCATTTAACCTCATTTCAGGCAGCCGGGATGACAGTGAGGTTTCGTGCTATCTGGTGAGGGGCCGGTCTGTGTCCAGCGCTAAAGTGCCACTATCTCGGGTGCCGGGGCCCGCGGTGCTGATGGCTGTGGGTGTAGAACAGGGAGGAGTGTGTGTCGGCCATCACCGGAGGCTATAGACAGCACTGGGATGATGTCAGCTGAGACGCGGCCCGGCTCGCCTCGCTCTTGGGCAATCAAAAGAGGAGGAATCTCTCACGCTGCGCAAGCCAAGTCCTGGAGGCAACCGCGACGCCGTGTGGGAATGGAGTTTGAGGAGAGTTCTAGCCATGTGACAGGAGTTTAGATTTTGTTTTTCTTTCTAATGTCATATAATTCCCCCAAACATATTAACAATCCATGTTAATTCACACAAGGGGTCTTCAACCTGGAGCTCTGGACACACCAGCTCGCCATCCCCTTCCAGGTAGTTAGCTAAAGGATTTAGAACTGAACAAATCAAATGATACACTGACATTGATGAGTACATACACCCCAGGAAGAATAGTTACTGAATATTTTAGTAGAAATAAACAACACAAACATACAACCCTGCTCATAGCGGGGTGGCGCTTGTACATGAAGGTCCTGGGTTCGAGGAGTCCACCTCCAAGCCTTTCTTTGTGGACTTTGCATGTCTCTGGTTACCCCTACAACAGGTAGGGCAACAGTAGCTCAATTGGTAGAGAAACGGGCTTTGAGCCAGAAGATCGTGGGTTCGAGCCCACCAAAAGACTTTCTCCACTGATTCCCACTGATGTCTGCTGTCGTTGTGTCCTTGACAAGACACTTAACCTCTGGGAACACCTGATGCCACAGTGGGGCGGCTGCGGCTGTAAAGTGCCAAACTGCTGTTGTGTCCTTAGGCAAGACACTTCACCCCCATTGCCTAGAATGAGTCTGGTGTGTGTGTGAATGATTGGTGGTGGTCGGAGGGGCCGAAGGCACATACTGGTTGCCTTGCTTCTGTCAGTGTGCCCCAGGGCAGCTGGAGTGAATGAATAATGACATGTGAAGTGTATTTGAGTGTCAAAAAAAGCTCTATATAAAACCGATGCATTATTATTATTCACAAGTACAATACGCCTGGCATGTACCTCCTATCTCTGTGTGGAGTGAGAGACACAACAATTAAAAAGCGCTCTGTGAAAAACGCTATAAAATGAAAGATTGCTTACTTACTTACAATGATTTCAAATATGAACTTGCTTGGTGCTCTATAGTAACAAATATGTGATGTCATATGTAAATAATGACTGAACCCGATATCAGGCTCGCTTTCTCTAATATCTCTTCATTTTTCCAGGAGGATTTTAAAGGAGTCGCCCTTTTTGTCTCAGGAAAGTCGCTCTCTGCCTTTTTGTCTTGAAAGTATTTTTCTGGGTGAAACAGGTTTACGGTATTCACAAATGCACTACTAACCAATTCTGTGAAAACTGTAGATCAGGTGGGTCCAAATCTTTACCGTCATGTTCTGTGGCCCTCTGCTGCTAAGTCTAAGTACCATTGAGATCATAGACACAATACACAGTGTCATTTAGCCAGCTTCAGCTCCAACAATGCATTCTATACCTTGTTGTAAGGCTTAGGACCTCTTGATCAAGGTGTTATACTACAGTGGTCCTTAACCTTTTGTAGCCACACTGTATAACATGACAGTTACCATTATTTAAAGTCAAAAGAAAACCTTTGTGGCTTGTGTGCACTGCGGTGATAAGCCCTCAGTCCTGCTCCTGTCCCTCAGTGCCGTGTCCTCTGCAGCTGTATATCGAGATTTTTATTTTGGCCGATTTGATTTGATTTAGATTTCTGTTTCTATTAAGTTAAGGTCAACATTTCATTATTGATGTCACTGTGGAAAAAGTGTATTTTCAACTATACACAGCATCTACTTACAGCTGGGGGATCCAACTTAAAGATGCAGCAAGCGATTTTGTTAGCTTAGCCGTTGCACCAAACTCATCCAATCATTCCTTACTTGGTGCTTGATTTTTCAATCATAAACATAGGAGTACAATTACCATATAACAGTAGAAAAATGCTTAATATTCTTCCCCTTCCCATCCGCTTCAGTTCAGCTCCTATACTCCCCTGTCCTGACCGCGCCATTGTAATTTAATCCATCTCTTCTTTCTGCATAATTTCTAATCCTCGTTTATCATGTTAACTTGCCAATCTCCCGTCAAACTAGTGCATAATTGTCCCTTTCTGTTCTACTAAACACCCTTCATATCAGCGCAGCCTATTAGCATGCAAATCTGCCTTTTGTACACGCGCTTTCTCTGGCTCTCCGCTCCGCGCTTATCAGCCACTCCAACGTTCCGTGTGTGTGACAGCGGGAGATTACTCGACTTGAGCAGAAAAATCAACATTGGAGTCATTGCTGTGGATTGTATAATTGCGCTCATTTAGACGGGCAGGGCCTTAAATCCTTCTGCTCCTCTGCCGGCTTTCTCACATCGATCACCTTCATCCCAGTCGGTGAAGAGGCTGAGCTGCGGGTTATTCTGCAGTCTGGTCTTATTACAACTCTACTGCTCAAGGATGTGGAACTTTTTGTTTGTTTGTTTAAGAAATACACTAATATGAGCCCAATGTCCATCCATCTCTTTCTGGGTTGAGGGGGTGGCCAGATCTGCACCCAATTCACAGCGCACCAGCCCCGATTAATCCCAATGTCTTTGTTAATAATAATAATAATAATAATAATGATTATTTTTGCCTCAATTTTGACCCAGAACACTCAACATTCAACAACATTTGTGGACAGTTATCAAATGTTTATGTTCATGGGGGTTGCAGTGCGTGAACTTAGAGAATTCACCACTAACTCTCAGATTCTGCTTAACTTTTATCGCTGCACCACTGAGAGTTTACTTGTTGGTTCTGTGTCTGTGTGGTTTGGAAACATCACAGATGAAGAAAAGAGAGCTTTAAACAAGGTGCTCCGCTCTGCAAAGAGGACTGTGGGCTGTGAGCTTCCTGTTCTGGAGGTTCTTTATAAATCCAGACTTTTAAACAAAGCTCTTAGGATTGTCAATGACTCTTCTGGCCACCCTGGGAAAGCCATGTTCCAGCTTCTTCCCTCTGGCAGAAGATATCGCTCTCTGAGATGCAGGAAATCTCGTTACGCTAACAGTTTTTATCCACAGGCTGTTATCAGTGTGAACAGAGCACTTTAATGATTTGCACTTGTTTTGAAACTGTTTTAGTCGATCGATTTCACAGTGACATTTGTTTACTGTTTTATTTGTTTTATTTTTGTCTTTTAATGTTGTTTTATGTCTGTATTTGTCTGTGCACACTGGAGACTTTTGCTAATGTATTCCAATGTGGTTTTTTTACTGCAAATGGCAAATAAACTGAATCTGATATAACCCTCTGATAATCTGACTGACGTGTCATGGTCATCCGCTCCTTATGGAACAGTGGCTGTTTTTTAAATCATTTTTTATCACATTTCTTGTGTTTGACCTGTTTGATTCTTTGATCTGTGTTGGCAAATTCAACAGTTGTGTAAAGTCCTCTGAGAAAACTACTGCTGTGATTTGGGGCGATACAAGAATACATTGAAGTGAATAGAATTTTAATCAATAAAAAAACAATGTTTATAAATGCAGACCGAAAATAATAAAGTTTTATGACAAAACCCCAGAGATGGATGCATTGTCTTGTATCAAAATGCATCTGTTTCTCAGTTAAATCTTTACATTACAAACATTATTATAGGTTGGTTTACGTGTCATTGAAAACTTTTTTTTAATAGAATATGTTTTGTTTTTTTCTAAATGCATTTTTTCCCAAACGGTATAAACATAAAAACACACATAAGCACCCAAACACACACAGGTCTAGGACAGAAAGAAAAAACTTGCTGCTTCAATACATACTTTGGTTTTAGTTCATTATTAGATGTAATAGTGAAATGAAGAATTCTCCATTGACCGTGGAGAATGGTAAATAAACAACACCAGCTTCTTTTCACTTTTGTCCCAATAAAATGACTTTCTAAGCCTTGTATTGAAGAATCAATGTTGGTTGTAGC